ATTCAAATCAAGAAAATTCAAACCGAGATCAACAAGCTTAAGCACAAACGAAGTCTTTCGGGACACTCTTGGTGCAAACGTTGAGGAGCAAAGTAAGGGAGATAGGCACATCAATGTTGATGCCCAAAACATTCGCTTTGATGGCCGTGCAAAGGCAAACTGCAGCCTCGAGATCGACCAGCCCTTCGATGAGGCTGCAGCACGGAGTCTTTGGAGGCGTCCCAACGGTGACGTTGAGAAGACCGTTGAGCAAGTCGGCACAAACGCCGAGTTTTAGTGTATCTTTCGGGCATGCATAGTTGTATGGTTTCGGGCTAGGTGGGGTCCACGCGCTAGCCGAGTAAAATAATAAAATATTGAGCAAGAGGAATAGTGCAATGTTGTTCTTGTTGGCCATTTTTTTCTCTTATTAATTTGAGTAGCTAATTAAATAGTAGGAAAATAAATGAAGAGCAGGGCCGGTCCGGCGTATTCGGAGGCCCGGGGCGAGAATATATTTTGTGCCCCAAATAATATGAGGTCTGGGTCCGACTTTTTTTTTTCCTTTTTTTGATGAAATAATGTAGATAAATATTTTTTAATTTAAATTTCATTATCAATAAAATATTGAAAATATTAACGTATATCTAATTTTTTTTTTATAAAACAAATGTTAAAAATGTATGAAATAATTTTTGTTTGAATAAAATAAAAAGATTTAAATTGTATATATTGTAAACTAAGTTTTAAAATTTATAAATAGAAAATATTTTTTTTGTAAACAATAGAAGAATAAAAAAATTATACAATAGAAATATATATTTTCTTTCACACAAAAAATGTTAGTATATATATATATATATATATATATATATATATATATATATATATATAAACAATGAAAATGGGCCCTTAGTAAAACTGGGCCCTGGGCGTGGGCCCTGCTCGCCCCACCCCAGGGCCGGCCCTGATGAAGAGTACTTATTGTGGGAGGGAATTAGGGTTTATATAGAGTGCATATGGTGCATGGTTGATCAGGTCATGATAGATTAAGGTGGTGTTTGCAAATTAAATGATTATTTAAAATCAGAAGTTAGTGATTGTGACTTAAGTCTCTTTTAAGCGCTCATTTCTAAAAGTTGGGGGTGTTTGCAAATATTCCAAAAAATTAACTTAAATAGAAATAGCAGGGCTATGGGTGCTTTTAAAAAAATAGGTTAAAACAGATTATTTTCAGAGAAGCAAAAACAAAAGTTGATTTCGCAAACACATGAAAACAGATTATGAGCAAAAAAAAAGCTCATAAATAATCACTTTCAAAAAGCTTTTGCAAACACCACCTAAAACATATTCATTACAATATTTTTTAAAGGAGATGCATAATAATATAATTAACGTTAATTGTAAACAATAATGTTGTAAACCAAGTCCGTGTAGCATGTATTTTAGCTTACTTAATTGAGCTTAGAACATACCAAAAAAATATATACGTGTCAATATTTGGATGCATTTGAGTTTGAGATAGACATCTTACTTGATTGAGCTAAGAATATACGTATGATTAATTATTGTGTTATTCCGGAATTTAGGTATGATTTAACCATAATTTTATTATGCTCACTTCAAATTCATGTGTGATATCACAAAAAGTAGCTAGTACTACGGTCCATGGTTATCATATAGAAAAATATTAAGTACCATTTTCCGCCATATATTGTACCGTATTATTTATCGTACCGTATTATTTATCGTAAAATATTTAATTAACTATTAAAAATAGTACAGAATATATAATAATAATAATAATAATAATAATAATAATAATAATAATAATAATAATAATAATAATAATAATAATAATAATAATAATAATAATAATAATAATAATAATAATAATAATAATAATAATAATAATAATAATAATAATAATAAACATTTTAAAGTCAAACTATTCATTCAAAATAGATTTAATTCAAGTTTTAACATTAAATTATTAATTGGGACAAAAGCAATAGTTTTTAGAAATGCTAATGCAAGTGTTATTACCTTTGCTGATATAAATTGCTTTTGATTTATGTGGTGTTGGATAAATATGTTGGTTTTGATTGGAAGAACATTAAAAATTTATCTTAATCATTTTTTTCGGGCTTAAAATGTGTTAAAAATCGCACTTATCGCCGTCAATGTGCAGAAAATTGCACAAATCACCACAAATATACTGAAAATCATACAAATCGCCCCAATATATGCTGAAAATCGTACCAATCGCCACAACATATGCTAAAAATTGCACAAATCACCCTTGATTGTGCTGAAAATCACTACAAAAAAAGAGCTTTTAAATAACGAAACAATGGTAACAAGTCTAACATTTGTCTCAAGATGTAATCTATTGTAACGAATTAAAATTATTGTCACGAAAAATTCATTTGTTTGGTAACGCTGACCAAAAGTCAATACAAATGAAGAACTTTGTTACCAAAAACCCAATTTTTTGAGACAATGGAAAATATTGGTTACTCAAAGTTTATTGTTGTTACGAAAAAGTATTTAGTAGTGACAAAATAATTTTCGTTACCAATGGTCTAAAAATATCAAAAAAATGTAGCCACTAGGCGGTAAATAGCAGCGCCTCTTTTTTTCTTTTCCTCCCCCAAATCTGCTTCATTTTTTCATCTGCTTCATATTCAAGGGTTTTGTGGAGTGCATAGAACCCTTTTCGAGAGAAGATTCTCAGCTCCCGAGAGACAAAATTTCTGGTAAAATTATCTTCTCTTCGGTAAAATTAGCTTCTCTTCTTCAACTATTTGTGTATATATTTTTTTTCCTTTATTTCCTTAATTAGTAATTACTCTCCCAATTTATGATTTGGCTTTAAAAGTTTTTTCTCTTCTTTTCTGCAGGTGGGTTTTTGAATTGGGAGAACTTTTTTGGTTCTTCCTAGGAGTTTAGGTAAAAATCGAGTTCCCTCTTCTTCAATTATGTCTCTCTTTTTATTTTTATTTATTTTTTATTTTTTTATTATTGTGGATCCGATCTTCGTTGATGGTTTCCCTCCCTTACATATACATTTATAGATTTTGCCCTATTTTAGGTGGGTTATCTTCTTGGGGAATTTTGTTTAACTTTTCTCCAGGTAAATGACTCAATATCTTTTACTTTATTTTTAAGAAGAATTTATTTATGTGTAAGTGCATAGAGATGGTTTCTTTTTTTATATAACTTTAGTTTTAGATAAAACAAGGGATAGATTTATAAGTGCAAACACTAATTGAACTGCATCATTTTTGATAAACATAAGGCATAAAACTAATTTAGAGGGAAATATTAATTTATTTAATATGGAGAGGTTCAGACCTAGTCGAGTTGCTTCTCAGATCCATTATATTGGTGTTATAGTGATATTGTGGTCTTGCTAGTTACAATATATTGTTAATTCTCTAAATTGTCAAGCTCTGTGTGCTATATTCGTATTGTAATGGAAATGAGAACAGGGGAAATTTTATAGTTTGTGAGTTTTATAAAGGCTGTAACATGTAGATAGTTATTGTATATCTTCCTCTGAACTAGACTAAGCTATTGGTTCTATGAATCTATTTACTTGATTGATATCACTTGCATTACATTGTCGTCGAAGTTTGTATGAATGTTGAAAGTTCGTAATTACTCACTATTCATATAAAATTTTCTGCTCACATAGAACTTTATGTAAGCAACTTGAACTTTATGTAAGCAACTTTTCTGCATGTTGATATAAATAATTAATTTAGAAGTATCTGGTAGATGGCCCTAAGTCATTGAGCTGAACCTATTGGATAATTTTAAATCAAGATGAGTAGTCAAAGTAATTCTTGCTATCAGTAAAGTAGAAAGTCTTGATCTTCGAGACTAGAAGGTGATTTTTTCAAGGTATGAGCGACTTGTGATTTCTCCTTTATATAATGTATGGGCTTGTTTGTTCAGTTAAATGTGTGAAATAGTTGTTAATTAAATGAATATACTTTTTCATGCATCGATCCACATATCAAGGATGACGTTGGCCGATGTTATTATTCTGGCGGAGGTCACATGAAGGTTGGACAATTCCCTTGTCCAATATCCCTTGTCTGGGGATATACTTGTGTTTTTCTTGAGTGGAGTCGATTAGTTTTGGCTATTTAAACATGAATATTGTTATCAAACTGCTATTTATGCTTGTCAATTTGAAATGTACATTGTTAAAGTTATTTTTTTGCCTTATATATAATTTTTACATTCTACATGTAGTGAATTTTAAGTCTACTTATGTTTGCATCTGCAGGTTGTTCAAGTCAATACAATGGTTGATGGTGCAATATGAAATTTGTAGAAATTAACTTGTATCAAAGTATGTTGATTGCCATACTCTTAGGAACATATATCTATATTGAGGTATTTCAGTTCTATGATAGTTACATATATTTTTCTCTTTTTTGTATTTCGATTGAGATTATGAAATATAATCAAGTAATTTTTTGCCCTTTAGTATGTTTTTTATTTTTTTATTTCTTTTATAACGTGTGCTATGGTCAGAAGCTATTCTAGAAGCATCTATATTAAAATAAAAATATTCGAAAATAATTGTTGTATAAAAATTCTAAAAAAAAAATTAATTAAAAGTATTAGTGAGGAAAAAACTTTGTCGTATTAAGTATTTGTAACAAATAATATTATACAAATAAATATTAAATAATATTATAAAATTAACTATTGGTAACAAACATTATTTTTGTAACGACTTTAGAATGTTTTAGTGGGGATAATCTTGTCACAGTAGGTGAAGATGTTGTAACGAAACAGCCTTAGTTACCAATACATTAGTAACGACAAGATAAAAATCGTTACCTTAACTTTTAGCGTCGAGCTTTAGAGGACAAGAAAAAGGTGACAAAAGCTTCGTCACAAAATGTTTTCGTAACAAAAAGATCACTTATTGTAACGATTTTTTTCCTCGCGTAAAGTGTGTTTTTTTGTAGTGAATAGACAAATCACCCCCAAATAAATGTCGTAGTTATCGTATCATATCGCAAGTTGTATCGTTTCCTTAGAAATCGTATCGTATCGCGATATTGACTACACTGCTATGGTCAAATTAACATACCACAAAATGCTTTAAAATTAAACCTCTAAAAAATTGTCTTATGTGATATCCACCACCAGATGCGGTAGTTAAAGGTATCCAAAACTGAAGAATGAATATTAATTCGGATTAGGTGGTAATCCATATTTTATGAAGCTTTAAACTAATAAACAAATCAAATATTTTATTGAATTTTAACGTAAATGGATGAGTTAAAACCTTAATTAGTTGATAAATGGAATTCCTCCAAGATTGGCATTTTTCAGTTGCAACTTGCAAGCTTGTTTTCTGGAAGGATGTGTCACGGGATGGGTTCTTTCGATCCTACATCTGGTGATAAACACCGGGTGAATCTTCTGTTGACACGTGTTATATATATTTAATTATTTATTATATATATATATTCCTAGCTCCACTTGGATTAATCTGTAGAAGTTTTAGAAAAATACAAAAAAATACATGTTTCAGCAGAAGACCAACTGATGTTTATCATCGGATGTAGAATCGAAGGAGCCCACGTGAAGCAAAAAAAAAAAGAAAAAGATAATATTATAATATCCACTTGCCCATTGTATCATGCATCAAACGTTGTCGTACCCTACCCAATGTTTTTTTGTTTTCATTTGTTCACAGTATATGGGATCAATCTTGATTTGCTTAATCATGTGATTCTTGAAACTATTTATTCGTTTAATTAACATGTAATTATTATATGTCTTATTATTTATTTGGATAGTACTAAATGTTAAGATATGTATAGGTTCGGTTCGACGAACTCAAAATCGAATGGCTATCATGTGCCTTAAGCTACGGATCCATGATATCTTTCCGAAATAATGTGACAATGAATGCTTCTATCATATTCTATAATGCGACTTTGCGGTTTGTGAAAATTTACCCAAGTGCGAAACCTTTTGACATTGGTCGTTAGGTCGAAAAAATGCAGACTTGCCCAATATATATACATGTACTGGTTGTGGTTCCTTATATATATATATATATATATATATATATTAGCGTTTTTTTCCCGTGCGATACACGGAAATTATTTCAAAAGTTAAAAAAATATCAATTTAATACATAATAAGAAAATATAGTACATTAACATAGTAAAATTTAATAATGTAGTATTATTCATATTTTATATAACATTAGTTTTTTTAAATCTTACATATTAAGATTTATAATCCAAATGTATATGTTTAGATTTAACAAATTGAATTTCTATCTTTATCTATTAAGATTTGAGATATATTGATGGAAAATAGGAGATATTATTGTTGAAAATTGGTACCGAAAAAATATTAAAAATAAATATTTACAAAAATACCATTAGGGTTTTTTAGGGTTGCCCAGCGTTTCTTTCTTTTATATATAATATATATATATATATATATATATATATATATATATATATATATATATATATATATATATATATATATATATATATATATAGGCTGCGGCTATATGTAAGACTAAAACCACTTGTGCAAGACCAAATTAAAATTTTCAATGTATAAATACTATAATATCCTTACTTGTTAAAAAAAAAAAATTCTAAATATGCAAGACCAAAAATTCAAAAACACAAAAAACCCTATCACAAGACCACAAAACCAACTCTCATCTTCTCCATCTTCCAAAACCCACAAGACATTTATCCTTCCTCATCCATAAACCCACAAAACCTAAACATTCAAAATCATCAAAACTCAACAAATCTTACAAAGATGGCAAGTATGGAGTCATAAGACATCAAAATAGAAGATTCTACGGTGGAAGAGCCCAAGAAGGTATGCATTTATGGGTTTTTTAGCTAGAATATAGTTTTTCCAAAAAAAATTCCGCGCAAACGAATTCGAGATGTACATGTCGAATTTTATGGGTAAAAATCGACACTTAGATGTCGATTTTTGGACATAAAATTCGACATTTGGCAATGTCGAATTTGTGCTATAAATTCGACATGTCAATGTCGATTTTTGCCTATAAAATTCGACGCTTAAGTGTCGATTTGTAGCACAGTTTTTCAACATCTTGGTGTCGATTTTTACCAGTTTCAAATTTAATTTATTTTTCCTCTTTGTTTTTCCTCGTTGTTGGGCAGGTTTGGGTCACTCATAATTGTGAGCGGTGGGGCTGGCGGCGGCGGCGACGATCGGTGGTGGAGCTTCGGTGGCGGAGCTTTGACGGCGGAGAAAGTGGGCATAGGTGGAGAAGATGGGCGTAGATAGGGATTGAGGAGGGGGGCTGTTTGTTTTTTTAATTCACGTATCTATTTTTATTTTGTTTTTTTTCCTCATTATTTATATTTGGTCTTGCATGAGAAAAAAAAACCAATTTAATTTATGGGTATATTTGTCATTTCATATTAATAAAATAGAATCTTTTGGAATTTTTCTTTAATTTGGTCTTGCACAAGTGGAATTAGTATTGCATATAGGCTATAGCCCCAGCCATATATACATATATATATATATATATATATATATATATATATATATATATATATATATATATATATATAAAGTTGTAAGCATTTGGGTACTCTAGGATCTTTTATAGAATAAATTGCCAAAATAAAAATATTTATAATTTTTTAATTAGATTAATATATAACTTTTAATCGGATTATCTTATACGATAATAATAATTGCGAAAAATAAATATTATTTTTTATAAGAGTATGTTACAACTTACAAGAACAAAAAATATGGCCCAAACTCATTTTTACATAACATTAATAACTTAAAAAGTTGGACATAAAAACTTAAAAAAAAAAAAAAAAAAAAAAGGAAAAAGAAAAGGAAAATCTTGAGGGGCGATGGCCCCCTTTGCTTATGACCTCTCGGCTTTCCCATAGAAGCATGTGTGAACTAAAATAAAAAATAAAAATAAAAATATGATGATGCTTGTTCGTCACAAATGTAATGTTGCAGGATTGAATTAAAAGACAAGAAAGATAGGATAGATAAATACATTATTATTCAAATAAAATGGGTTATGTTCTCCGAGTAAACTCCTAATTTTTCTCCTCAATTTAATTTCAAGGAGCGAAGCTCGTTCTTACATTGAAGACGTGCTCTGGCATTTGAAGGAAAATATTTGAATTCCTTGAAATCGATTTGGGGATTTTTAAGTCTTGTGGGTTTGATGCCTTCTGATGGAGATGTAGAACCTCTATGGTTGCAGTACTTTGTCGTGGCGTGAGCTTGAGACGTGATTGATTCAAGTGCACTTTGTCGTGGCGTGCTTGATGGATGTGTTTCTTGATGTATGTATTGCTTGTAAGTTTTTGAGACCTCCTTTTACACACTCGATTGAACTGATATCTCGACCAGTGAACTTGAAAACTTGCAACTTAATATATTTGGGGGCAAATAGCTACCACAAAAAATAAGAATTATTACTTATTTTTTGGTTAACCTACTTGATATACTTGTAAAGTCCATGAACTTTGATAAAGAGTAAAAAATCATTATGAAATTTGATTTGGGATCCAATTTCCGAACTAATAACAAATTTTGACTTTTAATTTGTAATTTAATTCCAAAAATTCGATGCCAACAATGTTTTACAAAAACATAACAATGCACGAGACTGAAGTTTTCTTACAGGACCTTGAAAGGTATTTTCAAGATGGGAATTCTCTTTAAATTAGCCAAGATTATGATTATGAAAAATTAAATTTGTGTTTTAATATTTTTTAGAAAGATGAAATAAGTTTTTCATTTGTTTACTAATCTCCTCCGAACATTTGATTTTTTAAAGTTAAATCATCATTTTCTTAATCACAATACGCAATGGTGCAATTTCCAAATTCCGCCGATTTCATTTTCGAATACTTTCTATTTTGGAATAATATTTTTGATTACAAATTAGAGTGCAAATCGTCCAAAGGTTCAACTTTTTTGTTTGAACGAAATGAAATGGAAGGATTAGTAATTAATAAGGGTAAATTACAACCAAACCCTGAGGTATGGTCAATTTACGAAAAAACCCCTCTTGTTTGGATAATTACATCTACCCCTCAACTATGACTTTTTTTCTTACACCTCCACCCTTATGGTGTCAAATTCAACATAATCATCTGGATTTCGTGGAATGTGCTCTAGTTTGTACTCGTTTTTGTGTAAAAATACAGTTTCTGATGCATCACATTCTGATATATATATACAAGCCAAAAAACACATATTATGATCATCTTGCTTCAAAATGTGGACTTCGAATAGGATAAAACGGGTACAAAAGTGATAATATTCCATATATACTAGAAGATTCCACTAAATTTTATAGTTGAGGGGTGGTTGTAATTACTCAAACAGGAGGGGGATTTTTGTAATTTGACCATACCTCAGGGAGGTGGTTGTAATAATAATTCTTAAGTAAACAAAAATCCATTTATTTACAATAACCAATAACAGTCACGGGATTGCTTTGTTCCTATTGGTCGATAACTCTTGAGATTCAATCCAAATTAACAAATAAAAAAAACATACTTCAAATCCAGCCTTGCTTCACATGTTTGCTGGCTTATTATCCAACATTTCTCAATACCTTCACCCTATAAAAAAACACACATACCCTAGACCACTAATCACCAATTCACATTACACTAATCCAAATACTTAAGCTTACATTAGTGAAAACTAATCTTTCGATCAAAATGGATCCACGAAAATCCTCATCGGCCATTCTCTTCCTTCTCGTTAACCTCGTATTTTTCGTTCTCGTAAGTGGTTGCAAGGACCCACCGTCCATTCCGAAACCCTACCCTAACCCTAACCCTACTCCAGTTAAGGGAAGTTGCCCTAGAGATGCCCTAAAACTCGGCATATGCACTAAGATACTCAACGGGAGTATCGGTACGATAATCGGGAACCCACCGGATATTCCTTGTTGCTCTATATTGGGTGGATTGTTGGATCTTGAAGCAGCTATTTGCCTTTGCACTGCGTTGAAAGCGAATATTCTTGGCATCAATATCAATATTCCTATTGCGTTGAGTCTTCTAATCAACACTTGCGGGAAGGAACTTCCCAAGGATTTTATCTGTGCTTAACTAGGGTTTTCTTGTATTTGTGTCTTGGTGATTTTTCAATATTTTAGTCCTCGTGTTTGATGTTTTTTTTTTTTTTTTCTTCGAGTTCGCTTAGTTGTTATGTTACGTTTGTGACGATTATTTTCCTTGTAATTGTAGTTTTCTTGTGCCACTTGTGGTTTTGTGATTTTTAGAATGATGTTAAAAAATTAATGGCTTGTTTTAGTTTAATTTTACATTCCTAAAGAATTTAAATAATTTGGTGCATAGAGATCGAAAATCATAATTGTTCTTATAAGGAGTAATTAAGTAATTTACTTTAAAAAAACAAACAAATATAAATGGTTATATTAACAACTCATCAAACATGTTATTAGCACATCACTAATACTAAACTATCACTGTTGCTGCAACAGAAACTCATTATTTACTTTTCTGTTGTCTCATGTATGTAAAGGTGTAAACGAAGTGAATTCGAGTCAAACGCATAATTGTTTAGTTTTGTACGAAAATAATTTTTTTCTAATCAACAACTGGAACTGATCTACATTTCATATTGAACAAAAATATAGATGCGTGCATGCACTTGGTTTGTTCATTATAATAAGGAATTGAGTTCAAATGATCTTTTAACGATCAATCTCAAACCGAATATCGAATAATTTGATTTGATCTACCAGTATAGCTATTATGACTGCCCATTTCTTCACGTTCGGGGAATATAGTCCATATTCTAATGCCAACATTTATAATGTTGGGCCCTAATTAAGAAATGTGCTTTGCGAAACTAAAATGCGCAACAAGAAACGTACTATTGAGACCATTGGAGAGGTCATAACTAACTACTTTTTACGACGTGAAGGAAACGTAATAATAACTTATTGCCACGGCCACCTATGTGACGATTTTGTACAGCATCCCAATAAGTCAAGCGTCACAATATGCCATTTTTGTGACGATTTGCCGCATCACAATAAACGATAACTGTATTAATTTATAGAGGTTTACCTGTATATATAATATACATCAAGTTATCTTGACATAGTTTTTGCAATATTTGACAATATACTGACTAGGCTTAAGCTGGATCATTCCTTGCGGGATCATATATATTCATTACTGATCACTTGAAAAATTAAACCGTACCTAGTGAAGTGTTTTTAGTGAACCGTATTTAATTACTTGCTTCTTTGAAACAGTAATTATCTTGAGTTATTTGAATTTTTTTCAAAATAATAAGGTCGTGCTACCATCAAATTTCTAAATGATTTACCAGACTACGTACTTCTAACAAAATCACGTAAGCTTTTATTGGATAAACCAATAAGAGAATTTCGGAATTCATATTGTATTGAAAAATATTTTTCCAAAATCGAAAAAATTCGAATTTGAATTGGCGGGAATCAGAAATCTGTAGACAACACTAACTGATCTAAACCCTTATTTGTTCTTATAAAATGACAATTTTGCTTATCATCAGCAAACAAAATGTGTACGTATTATTGACTAAGAGGGTCTTTGGCTAAATTTATAAGATGTTAAAAAGAGCTTATAAGATGTTTAAGAGCTTATAAGCTTTTTCAAAACGTGGTAGTTTTTTTTAAAAGATCTTAAATTTTAAAAATATTTTAAGCCGTTGGAGAACAAATAAGATTTTTTTTTAAAAGTGCATTCACCTCACCTTTTTATTTAAGATCTTAATGAGTAAAAAGACGAGCTTATAAGCTCATTATCCAAACACTTTAAAAATTAACTCTAAAAATAAGACATAACAAATAAGACATAATAGCTTATCAGCTCATAAAAAACAGTTTATTATACATTAGAGCTTATCAATTGTTTAAAATAAGCTTAATCAAACGGATCCTAAGTAATTATATTGTTTTAGTTTAGGGTAAATATCACTTTTCTCACTTGTACTTTGGTTCGGTATCACTTTACCCCTTCTACTGTCAAATGCATCAATTTGCCCCATGCACTTGAAAAATTGTCTCAATGTGACCCTCGCGGTTAGTTGTCAGACATTTAATATTAACACCGTTTGGTCTAAGCTCTGAAATTATAACAACGCCACTACTCTCAATTTAAATAATTAAAAAGCAAAAAAATAATAAAAAATATAAAAATTCAAGAAACGAGAAATTAAAGCATAGTCCACGACGGCAACCACAATTTATTTTTATTTCTTTTAATTTTTTTATAATTATATATTGAAATTGGGAGGAGTGGTTTTTTCGTAATTTTCAGATCTTAAACCAAACAGTGTTAAAGCCAAATGTCTAAAAACTAACAACAAGGACTACAATGAGACAATAATTTCAAGTGCAGGGGAACAAATCGATAAAAGCTACAGTAGTTTGGGGTAAGGTGACATTTAGAGGGTGTTTGGCTAAGCTTATAAGATGTTTTAGAGCTTATAAGCTCTTCCAAAGTGTTTGGTAAATTTTTAAAAAAAGATCTTATTTTTTTAAAAAATAAGCTGTTGGAGACCAAATAAGATCTTTTTAAATAAGTACCTCTACCCCACCTTTTTATTTAAGATCTTATAATGAGTAAAAATAGGAAATAAGCTCATTATCCAAACACTATAAAAATTAATCCTAAAAATAAGACGTAACAGCTTATCAGCTCTAAAAACATCTTATCAGATGTAAGAGCTTATCAGCTGTTTAAAATAAGCTTAGCCAAACACCCTCTTAATCAAAGTACATTAAAAAAGTGGAATTTACTTTTTATTTAAAAAAAAAAAAAAAAGAGTACTGGATAATCTGTTTTAATGATGAGTGATATTAATTGGACCGTGAGAAAACTAGAAAACAAAAATATTACTATATCAGAAGCAAGTGGTGCTGTTGGCACACATGGTTTTAATTGTCTATATACCTCAGAAATCCATAGATTATTATTACCTCATAAAAAATAAATATTAAAAAAATAATGTTGGACAAAAAGTATGTATTTAATTTGAAAACGTATATGATTGGTTGAAATACGAAGCATATAAATATAATATAACTGCAGAAAAGAATTGACACGAAAATCTAGGCGAGTGAAGTCACGGGGCTGATTTAATTATGTGTGGCCATTGGTTCATCTTGTGACCCCAAAAATCTATTCTTGTGACTTCACCACAAATCTAGCTAATTCATCTACTTAATTAGTACTATTTCTTTATCTTCAATGCATTTTTTATTGGCACATGCAGTAGAACAGAACATCGACAAAGCCTCGATAAATTAATAATTGTTAATTAATAATCTTGTTAATTAAATAATAATTTCTTTCGATTTCGAGTCGATAAAAATTGTACTAAATTAATAACTCGATAATTTAATATTTCCCTAAATTAATAGGTTTTTTCTAGTTCCGTTCCGACTGTTTTAATTTATAGAGGTTTAGTTATAATTCTCCATTTAGACTTTAATTAATCTCTTGTGCAACACAACAAAAACCATGAAATGGATTAGGCCAAATGCTTTAGGGGAATCTTGCATATGCTCTATTTATATATATTATGCAAATTTTAGCCAATGAATTTGATAGAAATGGTGTGATTACATAAAATATAAACAAATATTTTGGAAAAAAAAAATGATTTAATAGAAGGGGCTTTGGCCCCCTCCCCAAAGCATGTCTTGGATACGCCTGTCTTTTGAATTTGTACTCATTTATGATCGGTGATTACCATTTATAAAATTAGATGTTACATCTGGTTATTTACAATAAGTGGATTTGAATCGTAGATATACACATAATCACAAACACACTTATGTGTATGTGTGATAAATAATTAGGTGTAGCATCTACTTTCCCTATTTATCTATTGTGTATATATATCATTTTGTGTCCACTTGTGTCTATTATATGCTATATCAGATGAAATACATCAGGTAGATCTTAACCATTCATATACACACAAACACTTATATTGGTGTGTGTAGATCAACGGTAAAAAATCACCCGGTGTAATCTTCACACGTGTAGCATAGAAATAACCGTATCCACTTGGCTTGATCCATTATCAAGTAAATTATTTTATTCTGCCAATTAAACGTGGACAACTATACTTATATATCCACAACAAAATTGAATTAATTTTTATTTTTAATTTTCCCCAAAGGATATATATCCAATATACTAACCCTAGCTTGCAATTCACCCCTATAAATAACCTTCCAAATGAACCTTTTTCACAAGGGGAATAAGGAAGAAAAATATATAATTTAATTTCCTTGTTGTGAAAAAAAAAAATAGTGATCAAAATATGAATTCCAAGAAACTATCATCATCCCTTCTCTTTCTCACCCTCAACCTTATGTTCTTTGCCCTAGTAAGCAGCTGCTACTTCGGTTGTCACAACCCGAACCCAAACTCGAACCCGAACCCAAGCCCGGTAAAGGGAAGCTGCCCGAGAGACGCCCTAAAGCTAGGGATATGCGCAAAGCTGCTAAACGGAAGCGTCGGGGCAGAACTTGGGAGCCCACCGGACCACCCATGCTGCTCGGTACTTGGTGGTTTATTGGATCTTGAAGCTGCAGTTTGCCTTTGCACCGCATTGAAAGCGAATATTCTCGGCATTAATATCGACATTCCTATTTCACTGAGCTTGCTTATCAACACTTGTGGCAAAACCCTACCTGAGGATTTCAAATGTGCCTAAGTTTTTATAGTAATTTTCGGTGTTTCGTTTTTCGGTTTTTTTTTTTTTTTTTGGTTCTTTAATTTATTATTGTAATTTAATTTGGATGTGCTGCATGCACATGGATTCTTAAGCTGAAATGTAACGCTTGTTTTGTTTTATATTTGTAGTTTTTTAATGTTTTTCAATTACCATCGTAATTGTATATTTAGGTCTGGTTCTGCTTGCTAATATCAGGTTAATTAGATCGACTAAATAGTAGAAGTTAGTAAAATGATTGGATGGTAAGATTCAACATTGCTCAAGTTCGTTACTAAAGTGGAAGTCCGCAGTTAAATATTACTAGTTTATGAAATTAGTAACACCCCTGGCTCTCGGCCCCATGCGATTAATTTTGTAGAAAGTGACTAAAAAGAAAAAAAATACAATTTTACCCTTAAAATAATAATTTAATTTTGTAAAATAAGAATAGACAATTCTCATATAATCACATAATCTAACAAATTTAATACATGTAATCTAAAGAACCAAACATCTTATTAATTAATCAATGGGGAACTAATCCATTCTAATCTAATCGGATATAGATAAGCAAACAAGGCCTTATTATTTTACTATGGATTAAGTACTCACTCGAATTCTATAATTGTTTTCTTTTTAATTAAGAATAATTACATTCTTTATTTTCTTATGTATTCGTTAAAATAGTATGCTTGCCTCCATTTATATATTATAATTTCAAATTGTAGGACCATCACACTATCCCAAATAACCAGTTTACAATTTATTATTATTTTTTTAGGGAAACAGTTAATTGTTGAATCACTCGTTCAAGAAACAAGTCCGGCCCATTAAGCAAATGTCCAAAACATATGAGTAAAATGGCCGATGAAGCCTCACTTGAAACACAATCCAACTATATAACCAATTTCGACTATTTTATTTGGTTTGCATTTTGCAAGATAAATAATATTAACTAATTTATTTAATTTAATAGTAATTCAAATTTAAATTGAAGGGTTTTGGATTTGAAAGATGGATTTCGGATGAACTTTATCGTGTCATTGAGATGCTACACCAGGTGATTTTTAAACATCGATTTGGTGAAATAACTTCCCACTAAGGACCAGTGCCAGCCCTCACATAGGGCGAGCTGGGCAATGACCCAGGGCCCCACAGATTTTATATTCTTCTTATTATTTTTAATAAAAGAATATTATAATTTCTTTATCCTTGCATATTTCTTCTTCCAAGTTATTTTATTTCTATTCCAGTCCTAATTTCTTTTTGCTCAATAATAGAATATGTCAATGAATAACTATAGGGCAAATTACGGTCACCCCTAAGTTATGGTTAAATTACGAAAACCCCCTCCTGTTTGAATAATTAAAGCCAAACATGATAAATTTTAGGATGTTAAATCGGTAAAACCGAACCCAAACTTCGGTACACCAACATTTCATATGGTTTACCGAACTGAATTTATGATTTGGTTCAGTAAATAACCGAATTACATAAATTTTATGTAAAAATATTTAAAAGGCCGAGTGACTATAATTACCCAAACAAAATGTGTTTTTTTGTAATTTGGCCATACTTCAAAGGGGTGAGCGTAATTTGCCCATAACTATATTTATAACTGCTATATATTAAAATATTGATTTTTATTTTAGTGTAAATTGAATTAACGTGTACTTTAGAGATATTTGTATACACTAAAAACTGTACTTTATATTTAAAAAAAAAAAGTCATTTATATATTTACTCATTAAAATTGATGGTCATTTTTTTTAAATTAAGACACTTTTATAAATTTCGCCCGGGGCCTCTCGAAGCCCAGGACCGGTCCTACTAAGCACAGATACATATGAGTATGTGTGTGGTTATGTGCAGATCAGTGATTAATAACATCTACTACATTTCATATTTCACTGAGTGTAGCATCAAATAAACCCCTTCATCGCAAATAACTCAAAAACTTGTCCAAATCGAGATTTAACAAGTTAAATTCGTTGTGGAATGAATAAATTCATCCAAAAAAGCCAATATAATGTTGTTATTATGAATGCATAGATTCTTATTTTCCAAATTAAATAACTCAACTCCAATATGAAATCAAAAGTATATTTACAATTTCACCACAAAAGGAAAAAGTAAATTTTTGCTTTATTAATTTGTGTTATTTCTTCATCAGAAACAAGATTGCTGCCTTTCTCATTGCAATATTAATAAAAGCAACATATTTTTGGGCATCCTTCAAATTGTGTTAGCATCCCATGATTTTATTTTTGCTATTTTTAATTTTTATATCAGCTAGCTACAAAAATATTTAAACCAGACAACATAACGTGGAGAATTAAAGATTGGGGTCAAGAATATGTGTCGTGAATGGTCATGAACATAGTCAAAGTCAACGATATTTTTTTTTTTTGGTTGAAATGATCAACTTGGCAAATTGATTAAAAACTGAGGGCATTGATTCTCCTGTTTCAACCACTTTTATTTCATTTAGTCAACACATGGGTCCATGTTCGTTGGTTACGACGAGTGCACTATAAGTCTAGGGTTGTAAATCGATTATTATGTTCACCTATTGTTTTGGCAAGAATTTATCCCAACTCGATTAATTACTTTTCATTTATGGATATATTGGGGTCTTAGCGTGTAACCCCCAACCACCGTTGTGCGTTTATCTTAAAAAAAGAAAAAAAAAATGGTGAAAATCGGACAGATTGAATGAGAATTAGCACTTCTGGAGAAAAGAAAATTAAATTTTTCAAAAGCGGAAACTAATTACAACTTCATTTAATACAAAATCGGATAAGTTTAAAAATCAAAAATTCAGATATTCGAATGAAAAAGCTTGCTCTAAAAAATTGGATTGGAATCCTTGGGATTTTAAATTTCAATTTTTTTTAGTTACTTATAAAATAAAATACATAATGATATTGATATTATAACTCGTAAGATTAAATTTCAAGGAAAAAATAAAGTTAGAATTTGTCAGAAATTAAAATAAAGCCAAAAATAGGAATGTAATACGAATTCCAAATTCGTTCAAAAAAAATCAGAAATCAAAATTTTCAGAATTAAAAATAAACACTTTGATGACCGAAATCAGTAGAATTCGAAAATTTTGTGCAATTTTGAGGCTAAAGCGAATGTATTTTTTCGCAAGCCCATATGGAACCTTACTTTTTACTATATGTTATAATTGTTTTTATTATTACTATTCTTTATGAGCCACTTCTATTTTGACATCATGTACAATTTCATGAAATACAGTTGACTAAAACAACAAACTAAATACTTGTTTGTGTTCGGTAAGAGTATATTTTGGTTTTGAAAATATACTTTTAACAAATTAATAATAACTTTTTTTCTTCATGTATGTGCATAAGTCTCTGACCAACCCATCTTTATTATTCTAGATTTAGGGGTTATATCTCTTTCGTCAATAAGTCCATTCCTTTAATATTTATTATAAATAAAAGAAAAATTAATGTTCATGACAAAATTACCCCCAATCCTTTACACCGAACTCTTTAATTGTAATCCACTTTAATGAATTTTGACCACAAAAATCCAATTTTGACTTTCTTTTTTTTTTTTTTTTTTTCTGGTCTGTTTTTTTCCGCCGGTCTTCGGCGTTGATTTTTTTTAGAGATTTTTTTTTCTCATAAAATATATATCCGTTTTTTTACGGCCGCCGCTAAACGTTGATCGTAATTGTACTGTCACTAACAGTAATTATACTGCCACTACCAGTACATTAACGTAATTATACTGTCGTTGACATTACATTAATGTAATTGTACTGCCGTTGACAATACATTTATGTAATTGTACTGTTGTTGACAGTACAATTAAATTCAGCGACAATATTATTAATTTTTTTAGATTTTTTTAATTTTGTTTGATTAGTTGACAAGTCAACGTAATTATATTACTGGCGTTGACTGTAAAATAACTGTAAACACAATAATATTACTGTCAACCACTTTAATACTATTATTTTTATGGGTTTTTTTGTTTTGTTTGAGTTATTGACGGAGTAACGTATTAATATTACTGTCTACTATTGTAATAATATTATTGTGAAACACAATAATATTACTGTGGTTGACGGTAATATTACTGTTGTTATAGTAATATTAATTCTTTTGGCTTTTTATTATGTTCACCTTCGTTGAACGGTCAACATATTAAAATTACTCTATTACAAAACAATAATGACTTTAGTTGTGCTAATATTACTGTGCTAGAGATTAATATAGCAATATTACTGTGTTAAACTGTAGTACAGTTAATATTACTGTCAACCACAACAATATCGTTGTTTAAACATGGGGCAAAAAGATGTTAAAGAATATATATATATATATATATATATATATATATATATATATATATATATATATATATATATAGTCAACGCCAGAGAGCGGCGGTGGAAAAATCAGGAAAGGAAAAACAAAAAGAAAATGTCAACACAGGAAACCGGTGGTCAACGGTGGCGACGGACGAATTATCCATAAAATTGTGTTTTGGATCAAAATTGAATAATTTATGAAATGTGTGGTCAGATTGAGGTTAGATAAAATTAAAAGATGAAATTGGAGCATATTAAAATGTGAGAGGCTATTTTAGTCTTTTACATACATTTGGAACATATGTGGATTTTTTTGTATAAGAGTTTTTTTTCTCGACCCTTTATGAATAAGTATCCATTCATAAGCTTATTTGTAAAGTGCCATTTTTTTTTTGGAGAAACTTAATAATATGTTAAGAAGGGAGTTACGCCATACAAATTTTAACATTTTTTTAAGGAATTAAATTTAAAACAGCTTAATTCCACTTTGCACCTTTTAAATATAGTATTTTGACAATTTGCATCCTCCAAAACAATTAATAGTACTTTGCACCCTCAAGACACAACAAATCATTCATTATACATCTTGAATTGGATATTTAAAACTTAATGATGGTAATTTCAATTTTTATTGGTTATTTATTTCTAGAGTGTAAAATAATAAATTAAATTACTATTTTCTTCAATCTCCAACATAAATTCAAGCGTATAAAATGCAAAAAGAACAAATAAAAAAATCACAATGAATTATTGAATAACACTATTTTTTAAAAAAAAAACAAGACACTTCTTACTTAATCGTTTGATTGATGGATCTTTTACTGTTGTTAGTGAAAATATTTGGTAGAAAACTTTCAGAAAAAATATAATTTTCAAATA